TAATTACCTGAACTTTAATCACTTCAGAGGAAAGAATAGCTTCTAGAGCTTCTAGAGTACTATTTCTTTCATTAACCAAAACCTATACAATTAAAGTAGATGTTTTAACCCATGTTAAATTTTCATAAAAATAAGATGTCGGTTCACCAGGTTTTGTCATTAATGACTATAGCGGTCTATGTCTAATCCTTTCAATGCAGACAAGGTAAAAAAAGGTGCCTTTTACCAACTGGATAATATTATAGTAAGACGACCAGAAAAATGATTTATGTTCAAATTCCAAGAGAGTAATCAATTTACACTCTGAAGCATGTCTTCTGATTGCCCTTTTCTCTAATGTAAAACACCATGTAATACAATTTATTGATCATAAAACTACTCATCCATAGTCAAAGTATTTCATTCCATGATTTCTAGATGCAATCTTCAAAGAAAGGACTGATGTGAGATTAATCAACTATTTACTCTATATAGAGGAAGACCACCCACCTTTTTTTTAGCTCTGCATAGAGGGAGGCCTCTATAAATTGCTAATGGAATTCTACAGCTCACTTTCATAATTTATTTCATTCAAATGCCTAGTAAGTTTTTAGGCCTCTCTAAATCACTAATAGTTCTTCCCACATAATCTTTTTATCTTCCCTAGGTTAAAAAATTAGACAACATTTTTCTTTTCTAGCTTTTCAAAGTTACAACTACCCTTCCTTCCAAAGATATTTTCATTCAGAAAACAATGATTTCATTTACATTACTTTAAAGATGGTAGAGTTCTAAATAATATCAAATTTTCTTCCTACTAATCAATGTATATTCAAATGTCTCAACTGAGCTCATATTACAAAGAATTGATAGATTAAATCACCACATGTTTAGTAAATTTTTCAAAGAGGTTAAAGAAAGGTGTTTGGATCTCATAAATAAGTATTTTTATAAAGATTTCCAAATTTTCCATAACTTGAATTTGAATAGAGATATATTTCATTTTTAATCTCATAGCATGCCAATGCTTTCTTTTATTCAGAAACTGGTATGTATTAAAATAGAAAGTTTACATTTCTATTCTCAAAATGTTTGAACCTTGGGAGTTCACTTCCTCTTTCAAAGAAATTGTAAAGCCACTGAGTTTATCTTAAATGCCACTTTCAGCTTTATCTGAAAGCCATTTTTACATTTGCCTTTAAATTTATTTCCAGTTGGAAATAGGACACATCACCTATAGTCTGAGTCTGCATTCATTGACAGTTGGAAGAAACAATAACAGTTTTGATTCAGGGAAGGGCAAATTCCCTGATTGGGTTCTTGGCGGAGCATAAGAAAATTCAAATACATCTCAAAGTCAAAGTCATAAGGAAAGTTTAGTAGAGAAGGGGAAAGCAAAGACAACAGAAAGCAAAGACAAAAAGTCAAAACAAGGAAAAAAGCCCTGAGTATCAGGGAATTCAATTATTATATCATTCTTTAGTTCCTCTGAGTTACAGTTCAAAGACTTTGTTTACCCATTTTCCTTTGATACAGACATAGAGTGAGGCAGGATAAGAGTATGTAGCATGAAAATGTAAGAATAAGTAGTGTGAAAGGCCTACTGGCAGTTCCCAGCCTTCCTTCTATCCATAGGTTCCCCTTGGTTTTAGACATAGGGAATGAATGGTTTTATTTTGTGTAGGGCGTCACTTAAAGACTGCTTTTCCCATTTCCCCTTTACAGTGTGGGAAAATGGGTTGTTAGCAATCCCAGCAGAAATCTTCCTTTGTTCTGCAGGTTTCCTTCTGGTCTGGCTGCAGGGCCATCAGCATATTACAGTCTCTGAATATAGCTTGATTTAACATTTTAGTTCTCTTGCCTTCTCCCTAAATTAGTTTCTAGAGTGAAAAGTTTTAGTCACAGTCTGAGGAGAAAAAAGATATTTTATTTAAGGTCAAGTGATTCTTTTAATAGTTTCCCTACCTTAAGGACCAGAAGAATATAATAATTTTTAACTAATTATGCTTTTCTTTGAGTATGTTCAATCTAGCACAAAAAGCCTTGCTAAATGATCAGCTCTCACCTCTCATTTGCAAGGGTCTTTCTTTGATTATGAGAAAACCAAATTTAGTAGTTCCCTGAACTCCAGGCAAGTGTTCCTTATAAGAACTGTTTGTTATAGTCACTTTAAAGTAGATTTTAGAGTGTTACCAAGAACAGCAATTTGAAGCTTATAATATATTGGTTATTTAAAAATTAAACCAAGGCAGGTTTAGTCAAATAAGAATGTTGATCTTTACCTACAATTCAAAAGGAGCTATCTTATGCTGTTTCTGGTGTTCTGGTAATTAATATTAAAAGTCACAAAATTTTATGAGTTTTTAAAATTCTTCTAAGTTATATTCATTTTTTAAAATCTGGTAACTTTTTCAAAGCAAATTGTATTAATGAATCACCCAGTTCCTTATTACACGAAATATGTGGTCCATGAACCACGCTGGCACCATCTGGGAGCTCGTTATATGCAGAATCTGAGACTGACTAAATCAGAATATGCATTTTTAATGAGATCCTGAGGCTTTGCATAATCATATTAACATTTGAGAAACATTGAGCTAGTTAATATTGATACTGGGAAGGGCTAAGGACTCTTTGTTACAGTTTCCTAGTTTATGCGATTAGACAGGCCACTGTGGTGCAAATGGGTTGCAGGTGCACCCAAGTAACTACTCCCTCAGCCCTCAAAGCAGATGGATGGGGAGTGACACAGCTAGAACCCACCAGAGCAGTCCCCTACAGTTTGTAAGTGTCTTTGTCCATTAACCCCCCTGTGCCAAACAGATATTTTCACTTTCTCTGTGTGCTGCTACATGAAAAAGGTAGCAAAGCTCTGCTCTTCTGAATTAGATTTAATGGGGGAGTACTTCGATGGGAAAGATTAGAGTGGGGAAGTAAATAGAAGTAGGAAATCAACGCTCTTGGGCACAGACAAATAAAAAAAAAGAAGCCAGAATGAGATTGGAAATTTGCTTCAGTTCTCCAACTCTTTGCAAAGTTAGATAAGTAGAACCTATATAACAACAGAATGATGTTGGAAGAATAGTTCCTGGCTCACAGAATTTTTTATTCACAGCTCTTGCTTTAAGATAAACCAGCAATATTAAAAACATTCTAAAAATTGTTTAGCAGTAAACCCTTGGCGATAGCAAGAGAAGGATCACTGAATGACAGGATATAGACCAAATCAGAAAAAATAAAATTTCTCTTAGCTATATTTGTCAAAGCATTTGTCCAGTGCTTTGAAGAGAGTGACTTAGAAGTTGATAAAAGAACCTAATTCTATAGCAGTTCTTATTGCTGTAAATGGCATTGTACTTTAGCTAATTTTTTAGTTAATGTTTTAACTCATTTCTTAATATGAGTCTGCCTTTCTCAATGAACAATTTTTAAAGGGACAAAATTAAAGAATCTCACAGTCTGAGCTTCTCTCTTGTGACATAGCAATGGCTTCAAATTGGTTTCTCTTGCTACGGTTTCCCTCTTTCAAATCCATCAACAACAACAACAACAAAAAATCGTTTAATAATACAAATCCTTTTATGTCACTTTTCTGCTTATGCTTTTTCAATGACATTATGTAGCTTTCCAGATAGTTTAACTTTCTTCATTTGACACTTGCATTCTTTTAAGCCTTCTTAAGTCTCAACTTCCTTTGTTATCCCATCTGCATCCATCTGCATTCCAACCATATCTAAGGGGCTGTAGTTCCCCAAAGGTGCAATGCTTTGTAATGCTTCTGTGTCTTTGTACCTACTATTTCTTCTACTATAATGTTCTCCTGTTCCATTCGCTTGGCTAAATCTTTCCCATCCTTGAAGCTCCAGCTCCAGTGTTACCTCTCATAGAAAGTCCCCCTTTCATCTTCCTTTCTAGGAAAGTGATCCCATGGAAACCTACGTATGTCTTTATCATGGGATTTCTCACAGGACATTGTCATCAGGACCAGCTTGATGGGTATATGACCTGTAAGGTGGTTATATGACCTGTACGGTGCCCTTCGCTCTGAAGGGCCCCTCTCTTTACTTAATATTCTGCTGTCACCATCTTGAAATTCTTAATTTTATATTTGAATTTGTGTTTTGTAAGTCAAGTCCGATGGGACAATGGCACATGCACCTGAGCAGAGGAGATTCATGCAGTATGTGTAATCTGCCATTCCTTATGCCCCATTCACATAAAACATTCGCAATGCCCCAAAAGCACAGAATTACAGTGGACCTGCAATGCATGAGACTTCAGCAAGACTCAAAACAAGATAAGCATATTATACCTATCTCAAGAGGACATACTTTCTATTCCAACAAAAACTTGCTTTGCATGCAAAAACAAGGCAATGATGTCCTAAGAAGCAAGAATGAGCAAGGAATCCTATCCTTTTTTCTCTTATCTCCTTGTATTTGCCAATTCTCCAGTCAATTGGTGCTGGTTTTGAACAGATGCTAGGTCTGTGTTAGGCTTTGTGGGAGATTCATATTGTATCTTGTAGTTATTCATGATATATAGCTACTTAAAAAAAGTATAGGGTAAAATGTACAGATGTTCGTGCTTTCAAGAGATATGTACACTGAGGCATAACAGGAGCTGGGAGATTTGCCTCAGATGCCAAAGTAGATGTTTACCTAGGTAGATAAAAACATAATTTCTGTATAAGCAACTACAGTGGCTCAAGGCGAGAGATGAGAGTCCTAACATATGGGCTGAGTAGAGCCTCAATGCTAAGCAGTGGCCTGGGTCCCCACATTCCTATCAAATAAGCATTGTTTAAACAGTTTGTGTGCATGGACCTGGGTTCTGGTCACCAGGAAAGCTGGGAATCAGCACAGAACTCTAGGCCCCAGGGAAGGACAACTCAAAGGACAAGGCAGAACCCCAGTCCTATAAGGCAGGAATTAAAGGAAGGTTCTCAGAAAAAAACTCTTAGAAAAGACTTGAGCAGGAGCCTGACCTACAATCAAGACCAAGAACACTGATGGACTTACGTGCTTAGTTGGGAGTGACATAGAGCCTGTGGGCATCAGTGAGTCCAGCAAAGGAGAAGGTGACCTAGAAGCCAAAGAAATTGTTCCAGGTGAACTGAGAGGAAGATTCATAAAACTTACATAGGAAACTTACAATTTAGTTTGAAAAACAAGACAAATACATGTGAAACAAAGTGGAACTGACTTCAGCATAACATATAAGAGCCAAATAATGGAGTTCTTATTTTAAGTAATATGAGAAGTCAAAGTGGGTTGGAGAAGTGAGAAAAGGCTTCCTGGAGGAGGTAGCATGAGACCTGGATGTTTGAAAGGAGAAACTCAGCTTAGTAATAATGAGTCCACAGGAAGCTGCAAATGGTGACGGTCTCCATAAGGGGTCTGTGCCTGGAAGTGTGGGGTGTAGACAAAAGCCATGTGGTAGGCTGAATAATACCCCCTCAAATAGTCCATGTCCTAATCCCCAGAACCTCTGAATACTGCTTTATATGGCAAAAAGAACTGAGATGTGATCAAATTATTGAGGTAGGGAGAATATCCTGGGTTATCCAGGTGGGCCCAATGTAATCACAGTGGCCTTTATAAGAGGAACACAGGAGGGGTCAGAGTCCAAGGAGAAGGAGATACAATGATGGAAGCAGAGGTTGGAGTGATGTGCTTTGGTTTGGAGGAGTGGGCCACAAACCAATGAATACAGGCAGCCACTAAAGCTGAAGAAGGCAAGGAAGCAGATTCTCTCCTTCAGCCTCCAGAGGGACCTACCCTGCCGACATTTTGGCATTAGCCTAATAGAACTGATTTTGAACTTCTGGCCTCCAGGACTATTTTAGAATATATTTGTCTTGTTTCAAGCCACTAAGTATGGTAATTTGTTACAGCAGCACTCAGAAACTAATAGAGGCACTAAGAAACAGGGACCAAGCTGCAGAGCTCTTTGTAATCAGTGTGGCTGTGCCAGTGAAAACCAAATGTAGCCACACATATGATAGAACTTGCTGCGAGATGCTTTCTTCTTCCACGTGGACCGCAGTAGCGTGCTTCAAGATGAGCCCTGCACTGTGTCCAGAGCCCTCAGGTGCCAACGGGTTTTAGATAGATCAAGGGGCTGGCAGATTAGTTTGGAGTGAGGCCTCTCTTCCTGGCTTGCAGACAACTGCCTTGTTACTGTGTCCTCATGCGGCCTTCCTTCTGTACATGCACATGGAAAGAGAGATGCCTGTTCTTTCTTCCTCTTTTGATATGGAACCGGTCCTGTGGGATCAGCCCCCACTTCCTCTCATATAACTTTAATTACCTATCCCCAAATACAGTCCCATTAAGGGTTAAGGGCTTCGATGTGATTTTGGGAGGACATAATTCAGTCCATACCAGATGGTGATGATCAGGATGGCTTCATCTTCTACTTTTAGGGCCCATGACCTCATATTTATCATTGCTATGAAAACCATATCTGGAAGCATTATGAAAAATACTTCCAGAATACTTCTTAATTTTCAGACATTCACAAGACTTTCCTAATGTCACAATCTGCCTAGGAATTTGCCCGTCTTCCCTAAGAAGAAGGAAACCAGGTTGGATACTGTCACTGTTTCCTCACTTACCTATGTGAAATGCTAATTACAGAAAGTACAACAGAGAAAATATTATCTTTTTGTGAAAACTTTGCAGCTGTGGGCCTGCTTTCAGGATGTAATTATACAAACTGAAACTGGTCTCAAGCAAGACACAAAGGTTACCATCCCAGCTACATAAAGTGCCTGGGGAGCTCCTCTAATTACCATGGACTAGAGGTTTTAGTCTTATATCTCTTTCAAATAACATCAGCAGCAGCAGTGACAGCCTGCACCTTCCAACATTACACTCCTTCATTAGTTTGCTCTGACTCACCCTCCTCATATCCTACCACCCAATAAACCTTTCATCAAGTGATTTATTTTTCTATGTACCGGGTAGCACTTAAGCCACTGCTTTCTTTCTTCCTTTTTTATTTTCTACCAAATAAATATCAAGTGTCTCCTCTGTGCAAGGACATTTATATATGCTATTTTATTCAGCCATCATTGTAACCATGCTAAGTAGACATCGTCCTTCTATAAATGGGAAGTGTGAGAATCAAAGCAGTTATGCAGTTAGGCACCAGTGTTGAGTCATCCTGGTGGGCATCCAGAGGGAAGGAAGGAGAAAGGAAGAGGGAGAGATGGATGGAAGAAGGAGGAGCGGGGAGAGAAATCTGCCACAAAGTTAGCTGAGCCCCATCTCTGTCGTCCTTCCAGATCAATATGGCTCTTCACATTCCCAGAGCTCTATGCCCAGAGACTAATTTTATAGGAATTCATTGTAATAGGAAATTGAACAACCTGTTTGATGAGAACTGGTTGGACTTGCCGTCCAGACAGAGCAAAACTGTAGTGCAATTCTATAAATAAGCTCTGGCTCCTGTGCCTAACGAGAGCTTACAGTCAGCCTAAAGGAAAATATACTCTGTCTTTGCTGTCAATTTCCTTTTGTCTCAAATGCAGAAGTGATTTTTTTTTCCTCTCTCCTAGATACTTCTCTCTATCCAATTGGGGCAGGACCCCAAATCTGCCTACAGGCCAGCCGGTTCCCTGTTCACAGCCTCCTCCATGGCCAGAACCAAGAATGTCACACCCACATTCTTCCCATCCAAGCACTGGGGGAAAAAAACCCATCCTTCAGCTGCCCTTTCTCTATGGCTACAGACTTGATCTCTTCAGGAAAGCATGCAATGGCCCAGCTCTAGTTTCTTTCTTCCTCTCAGCGGCCACTAAGCTGGGCCACAGGGGCTGGGTTCCACAGGACAAACCAATGTTTTTCCATGAAAAAAAAGTGAAGATGTTATGGATTTAATGTATATGTCCTCCTCAAACTCATATGCTGAAATCCTACCATGTGATGGTATTAGGAGGTGATCGCATTAGGAAGTGGGACTCACATCGAGTGGTAATTAGGATGAGATGGGATCGTGAAGGCAGAGCTCCCAGTATGGGATTAACGAGTTTATAAGAATCGTGAGAGCTTGATTCCTCTCTCTGCTATCTGCCATGCAAGGATACAAGCAAAAGTCAACTGTCTCCATCCAGAAGAGGGCCTGCACCAGAACCTGACCATGCTAGCACCCCAATCTTGGACTTCTAGCTTCTAGTACTATGGGAAATAAATTTCTGTTGTTTATTAGTTACTCAGTCTGTGGCATTTTTGTTATAGTAGCTGAGATGATTAAGACAATCACTGATCCACAACTTTGTGAGAATTTTGGCATTATGGTTATGTTTATAGAAAAATTTTAAGTTGTCAGACAAACGCACAATGTAAAAACCATTATTTGATAAAGACTTATCTTAATTTAAGAGGTTGAAAAGGAGGATGATCAGGTGGGTAGTGTCCCAATCTAGCCTCAGGCTGATTGCATTCAGTGTTGTCCCCGGAGCTCAAATCAGTGCAGGTGGTATGATTTCTAGTCTAATTATTTGGAGTATTAAAGAAATACACATTTATAAATCAGATAAAATATGAGTTCAAGTATACATCTAACCAAGCTATAAGGAAATTCATCTGAGGTAGTATTGGGACCAGCTGCCTTTGCAGGTCTGTTAAGAGCCTGAAAGTCTTGCACAGTGTCCAGAAAACACTCTGTCCTCCATCTGCCTTTCTGGGGTCTCCATTCTTCATTCCATCATGGGCACCACTGACATCTGCATTGCCTAAGCCCACAGTGATCCATCAAAGTCTGATAACTTGAAGTCAGGTTGCACAGGAGGTACAGGAATGTTTGCAGAGACTGGAAACTTTCCCCCCACCCATAGGTGCCCCTTTGTCATCTCTTTGATGTATTGCCACCCACTTGGGGCACATAGGTGGGTGCAAGTACATCCACTGCCATAGACCACTCTCTTTTTATCATCATAGGGAAATCTTTTTGCCTTTTCTATCTTTTTCCTCAAAGATTTTATTTCATTCCTGCATTTCCCCTTCCCCTCTACCCAAAATATTCTGTATTATTGCTTCATTGGGCTTGGGTTTTTAAAAAACTTCAAAGGTCATTGACTTTGGACTATGAGTTTAAAGTGATTCATATCATTTTTTCTTGACATAGTGACCGGATTTGATTTTGTGTTGGTGAATGTACATGTAGTGGTTTAATTAGGTTGTATGGGCAATATTGAAGCCATATGCCCAAAAGAAGAAGTTTGGTATGCCTGATGAACAAGGGTGGAATGTGTTGGTCCCACTGACCAATGTACCTTTCAGTTTTATTCCCTCCCTCTCTAGATACCTGCCATATGCACAGTCTAACACAGAAAGGTCTCTCATACTCACATCACACCCCATGGTCCTTCCACCCTGATCAGACTTGTTCGAACCATAGCAGGCATCTAACCCAAGGCCAGCCAGTCATTTATGTGGCCTCAACCAAGAGCTCTGCTCAGTAAGGGCACCCTGTATGAATGATGACTGACCAAGCATTGATCCTCCATGGTACTGAGGGTGAGCTCAGAGACAGAGAGCAAACCAATAATGGAAGGAGCAACAGAAGCAGAGATGGAAAGTGAAATGACAGTTATGAAGTAAAACCAAAGAAAGAACACAGATTTCTGATGCGGATGTAGTGACAGGACAGTTGGTGGCTAGAACTGTGTTCTCACATTAAAGATCTTCCAGCTCCTACTTGTCTGAAAAGCCTGGTTATATGTGGTTCCTGCTTTCCTTTCTCTGAATATCCTTTCTACAGACTCTAATCCTCTGAGTAAAACTGAGCCTCTCTCTGGTCCTTGCAATCTAGGAGAGGCTCACTCACGTTTATTTGACGTTCCTAAGGCTTAAGTATTAGTGCAGTTAAAGAGCAGTAAACTATGATTCGCTGATTAATTAACATTTCGAAGAACAGCACTTAACAGTTGAATTTACTCCAAAGTTTGAAGATTGAGCTGTCCTAGAGAAATAGTCAACAGTGAATGCATTTGGGAACTCACTGACCCTCTCTCCTGGCTCCTCCTCCTCTGACCTTGGTCTCTGTGTTCCTTCCGCTCTTCTGTTTGTGTACCTACTTCCCATCTCTCCTTGTTACCATTTCT